TCAGCATGCCCAGGAATGGGGCTGGCATGGCAGGCCAGGGAAAGAACCCCTGGCCCCTGTACTGACTTGCAGGCACTTTAATCCATGGAGCTATTTGGCCGGCCCTTGTTTTGCTTTATTTTTTGAGACAAGGTCCTACTATGCAGTCCAGGCTGGGTTTGTCCTCACTATGTAGCCCACAGTGACCCTCCTGCCTCAGCCTCCCAAGTACAGGGATTACACGCATGCACCACCACCATAACTACCACCACCACAGCTGGTTTCTAATAAAACTTTTAGAACAGAAAGATAAATCAATTCATGCACACAACAGCCAGGTCCTACTTCTTGAGAACTGGAAAAGTCCCAGACTCCTCTCATGAATACCTTGGGAATCTGAGGCCTTGCAAGCAAGCATCCCTCACCTTGGAGGCAGAAGACACAGGAAAGGGGCTGGCGCAGCGCAGGCACATAGCCTGTGTGGTCCTCAGAGAGCCACTGGCCTCCACCAACAGGGACAAGTTAAACATCCATTCTGGTTCTAAACAGGCAAGCTGTACACGGCATCTGTGAGGAACCCACTGAAGGGTGGACCCGCCTGGCAGGAGCAGCCCAAGAAACACATCACCCTCACTCCAAAGTGACATCACCCAGAGCCCCAGGCAGGCCCACGCCTTCCTAAGTCCCTGAAACCCATGCGCTTTCCACAGGGCTGGACCCCACTGAAGCCTGTGCCTGACTTGCCCCTGCTTGGCCGAGGGCTACTGCTTTGGGTGTCTCTGCTTCTAGGGCTGCAGCCAGACTGGGCTCAAAAAGGAAGACTTGTAAAGGTACTGCAGTGGGCAACTCCACACTTTCCTGTACACACACACACACACACACACACACACACACTCCATCTACTGGATAAAGTGCTCCTTGCAGAAGGAGTGGAACAGAAGGAGGAGGAGCACTTAAAATGATCTAATCCATCACTTTGCAGCTGCCTGGCCCATGACCTCAGTGCCGGGGACAGGAACCAACAGCAACAGCCGGCACTTGGTCTCAGTGCGCAGCCCTGGCTGCACAGCTTGGGTAAGGCAACCACCCTTACTGGGGCCCACTGCAAAAGCAAGAGTGGGCCCAGCCAGGTGCCCTATAAGCACTGTAGGGCTGACTCTGCGACTCCTTGCTGGGGTGCCCCCCACACTTAACCTAGCATCTTCTGTCTCGGGAGGGGCCGAGACCGAGACAGGAGCTGAAGCTAGCTCGCCCTCTCCTGCGCCGGGGATGAAATCACCCCCAACTGCTACCCTGGGACAGAAAATTCGTCCAAGGACACCAAACCTTAGTCACACAGGATGGCGCTCTTGCCATGAACACCTGTTAAAACTCAACTCATGACAGGACGCTGATGCTACTGGCTGGAGTGTTTAATTAAATATTACTCACTCAGGAAACAGCCCCTGCCAAGTCACCACCAAACCGTGCAGTGCATTTTCAGAGAAAACGAGAGAGGAGGAGGGAAAGAGCCGGTTGCTCCAGTTGGGTACCAGCTGGGGCCTCCCTGACTGCGGTGCCCGCTGGAGTCTCACCGGCCCACTTTGGAGAACGCAAAAAGGTCCCGCAAGGCAGTGGTCGGTCCCCTGCCTGGTGATCACAGATGGGAGGACGCACGGTGCCTTGTTCAAAGGCGCTCCCACAGATGCACACAGAGACACATGCTACACTACAGAAACACAGCCACACTGGGGTGCACACAATGGGACACAGCCACACACACTCATTTGTACCACAAATGCACGCACCCTCTGAGACCCACTCTCAGGAACACATTCATAAAAGTACACACAAGTACACACAGACACACTCAGCTATACACTCTCTGGGACACAACTTTTAGGGAGACCAGCAGTCCCTGTCTCCCAGGGTCCATGCACCACCACGGGACTGAGCCTCCGCAGTGGTCCGCGGTGGGAACTCGAACCGGACAATCGCAAGGTGCCCGTACGTACACCCACAGGTGTGGGTGACCGCGCCGCCACCCACCCGCGCACTCCAGGTGCTCTGATGTTTCTGTTTTATCGATTTCCTGACAACCCTGAGCTCTCCTTGCGTGGCCCCAAGAGCCTCAGCGGCTCGGGTCCAGCGGCGGCGTCCCGGGTGGCGCCCGAGGCTCCGGGAAGGCGCTGCGGGCCGGGCCCGGACCCTAGGGGCCCAAGCGAGCCGCGCTGCGAACTCGGGCCCAGAGTACCCGGAGAAGCGAAACTAACTTTTCCCCGGCAGGGTCGCAGTATCCTGCGCTGGGGACGGGGCAGGAGCCTCTGCACCGGAGCAGGGACGCGGCCAGGGGCACCAGGTACCCAAACTCGTCGGCGCCCCGGATCTCTCGGCGCCCGCCTCCTCGAGCCTCAGGCGGGCGCGACGATCCCCGCGGTGGCTGGGACCCCAGCCTAGCGTCGCCCCCGCAGGTGGATACGGAGTCGCCTCCCAGGAGGCCACAGCGCAGGGCGGCGCCCGGCCCCTCCCGGGACCCGCAACAACACAGGCTCCACCCCGCTGTCCCGGGCTCTGCCCCGCGCCCCCTCCTCACCCTCATCGCGCCCCCCACAACCCACGGCGTGGCCGCGCGCCACCCACCGGGTCCTCGGGACGCCGCTCTCGGGCGCCCGGCCGCGCCCGCCGCAGGCAGCGAAGTCGCCTCTTCCGCGGCCCCGGCGCCAGCGCCTGGAGCCTGGATCCTTCGCGAGCGCCGCTGTGAGCGCGACTCGGTGCAGAGGGCGAAACGCAGCGGACCGCTTTAAAGTGGAAAAAAAAAAAAAAAAGTAGCGCACAGCATGTGGGCGGGGCCTTCCTGCCCGCCCCGCCCCCAAGATCCCGCCCCGCCCGACCCCCTCAGGCCCCGCCCTAAGGCCCCGCCCCGGCCCGGGGCCCTCGGCTTCAGGGATCACGTGCCCGCACCCCCTTCCGAGGCCGGTGCATCCTCTTTGCGCTGGCATCCAAACCGCTGCCTTGGCGCTGCCCGCTTCGGGGTAGGATCCCCCTGGAGGCGAGTTTGGGAAAGGCCGGAGGGAGGCCCGGGTTGCCGCAACCCGAGGGCTGCGGCATTGCCAGGCCCTGGGTGGGGTCGGAGAGTGCGATTTGTTTCCGTAACCTAGGCAGCAAGGTCTCTCCTACAGCCCGCTCTGCCGCTTCGCTTTCCACTGCTGTTTTAAGGTCTTAGGGTTTCGAAACCCCAAGGGCCTGGGCACCTGGGCATTTAGCAGAGTCTGGCCAGCCCCAGGCTTAGCGTCCTGGACGTGTATTGAGTGAATGAATGCGCGGTTGCCTGGGAAGCCCCCACTTCCAAGGACTCTTGGTCGTGCTCTGCAGCCGCAGCTCACCGAAAGAATTCCCCTGCCCCTGTCCGTACCTGAGCCTTCACTTGGACCGGGTGCTCTTCAAGAAATGACTTTGATGGGGCCAGGGAGGTGGCTCAGTGGAGTAAGCGCTTCCTTGGCAAGCTCAAGGGCCTGAGTTCAATCTCTGGTTCTGAAAAAAAAAAAAAGAAAAAAGAAAAGGAAAGAAATCACTTTGCTAAGAGCAGACTCGTACGTTTCCCCACCTCACGCTGTGCGTGGTCAGGGTGGACCCAGTGGTCTGTCCTGGCTGTCCGTATGACTCTGGGTTTAAGTTGCTGGAGTTGTGAGGTGGACAGTGGTTGTGTGTAACCCAGGGGTGCTTCCAGTTAAAAGAACTGGGGGACTTCAGTGTAAAAGAGTAACAAGGGCTGGGATCCCCCGGGGGGGGGGGGTGCAGCACCCCTGGTGACTTAGCCTCTTAGTAGTTTGAGAACCATTGTTCGCAATGTGGGGGGATCACAGCTGCTCTGATCAGCAGTTCTTGAAAGAGCACCGTGGCTAGTGTGATGGGAAGGAAGCCTGTGTTCCTAAAGGCCTCATCATCTTGAGGGGCTAAGGGAAACCCTCCAGGGAAGGCTGGGGCACAGATCATTCCACTAGAGGGCTAGGGTCACTTGGGACCCTTGATAGGATGGCCCCGAAGGAGACATTCCTAAGGAGAAGTCTACCACCCTACCATGGGCTTTGGCTCTGCTAGGTCATTAGATCCTACTGATCTAGTGAGGACCCTTATTCCTGGGGACCCTCATTCCTGACCTTTAGGACCTGGCAGGTGGGCTGACAGCAAAGCTGGTCATCCAACCTTGATGGCTCAGAGCTGGGCTGAGCAATCCCCAGGGCTGAACTGTGAGTAAAAGGCGCTTAAATCATAGGCGCAGCTGATAGGAGTTTTGTTGTTGTTATTGCTTTTAAGATACATCTTCGTACCAACTTGCAATCCTGTAGCATCAGCTGATAAGCACTGGCCCTGCGCTTGAAGCCTGACTCAACTCCTGAGCCCAGGGGTCTGTGAACCACAGGAGCGAGCGAGTGAGTAGGGAGGAGTGCTGGGCTGGGTAGTGATGTCATTGATAGTTTGCTTACTTCTTTAATCTGACTCAGTAAAATGATAAGGAGCATTGTTAGGGAGTGGGTTGCTGTGAATTTCTGTCCCAGTGTTAGCACTGGGTCATGTCTTAGACGCACTTAGGGCCCTTGGAGCACGTTCCTTCTGTCTCACGAGGTTAGCTGCTCCCTTCTTCCCTAAGTTCTGCAGGGAATGAGCAAAGGGTTTGGAAGTCCACAGGCCTGATGCAAACCTCTGCACGGCTGCACACCAGCTGTGTGACCTTGAACAAGAGTTTTGCTGCAGAAAATACCTTTCTGTATCTGTGGGCTTGCTCTCCACAGTTCCAGGACTGGGGGAGAAGCTCGGCAGCATAAGCACCTGCCTGGCAAGCTCAAGGTCTTGAGTTTGATCCCCAGTACCAAATACTAATAATAAATAAGCAGTGACTGAGCACAACGTGTGTAGGGCATTGTGTTAGAGTGAAATCAAAGGCTCTGCTGAGTTTTGAGATCATAGTGTCCTAGGAAAGCAGGAGTCCCTAACAGAAGTGTGGCACAGATCCTCAGGTAAAGAGACCTGAGCACATTAATAAAATATAGGCCTGTTATGCATCCCTGGTATAAGATAGGTGTCTGGCCATGTAAAACAGAAGCAGAGCGGTTCTTAGAGGTTTGAATCTTATAACATTCATGATTTATTGGATTCACTGTTTTAATTGTTAGATCCCATCTTTGGTGGGAATTTTCACAAAGGATCAGGCATCACAAGACAGCGACACCTGTTGGCCAAATATGGGCTTGCAACATAGCTGTATCAGACATCATTAATCCTCCACAGGGAAGAGACGGGGCTTGGTTGGGTGGTTAAGCAAGTTTATGTGAACTTGGGAAGACGTAAGTCTTGATTCTTATGACAGTAATTATTGCAGAGTTTAAGCGGGGGGAAACACTTCCAGGGCTGACCAGGTAACTCAGCAGACTAACGCACCTACTAGGCAGACGCAGAGACCGGAGTTCAATCCCCAGCCTGCCATGCCAGTCCTGCCCTCAGGGTGTTCTGAGACTGTGATTGAGTCTAGACGTGGTGGCGCACACCTATAATCCCAGAGCTTGGGAGGCTGAAAACAGGAGAACCACTAGGAGCCCAATCTGTGTAGTGAGACCCTGTGGGCCCTGTACTAAATATGTATAAAACAAAACAATAATTAAAAAAAACGCTTCCAGTGAAACAACAGTGAACAGGCTGATGTTGATACCTACTTTACATGTTTGCCAGACAGGATCATGGGTCTTTCAGGTTGTTTACACACACACACACACACACACACACACACACACACACACACAATCTTGAAGATCTTGAATATTGCACTAAGTACTTGAAGAAAACCCTTCCAGTATTTGTTCATCTGCTCGCTTGATAACTAACGGTCCTTTGAACCGGGGTCTCCCTGTGTAGTCTGAGCTGGCTTCAAACTCACAGAATCCTGTTGCCTCAGCCTCCCAAATAGTAGGAGGCTGGTGCAAATTACAGGCATTCACCATCATGCCCAGTTGAACTTTTTTTCAATTGGGTTTTATTGGTAGATTTTATTTTATTTTATTTTTTTATTTATTTATTTATTTTTTTTTTTGTAGAACCAGGGATTGAACTCAGACCCTTGCACTTGCTAGGGAAGCACTTATTCCACTGAGCCATCTCCCCGGCCCCTATTGGTAGATTTTAGATGTACGTAACGATCACATTCATCATAGAGAATTTGTACGTGTACGTGACATAACTTGGTTCTTCCCCATCCCCCACCCTGTCTTCAACCCCTTTCCCTCCCCATTTACAAAGGCTTTCTTTTCATGTTTTCCTTCTGCTCTAATTTTCTAAGTGCTTCTCTTCTTTTCTTTCCCTTCCCCCTCCTTTTGCCCCTCCCCCTCTGAACATTTTCCTTCTGTTTCACACCTATTACACGTTTTGATCCTTATGTACACTTTCAGTTTCTCACCCCAGAGAAGCAATGTGGTATTTACACGTGTCTGATTTAGTTCACTTAAGAGTATGTTGTTGGTTTTTTGTGTGGGGGTTTGTTTGTTTTGTTTTATTTTTCAGTACCAGGGATTGAACTCAGGATCTTGTGTTTTCCAGGCAGGTGCTTATTCTACTGCGCTATCTCCCCAGCCTGTAAGAGTATGTTCTAATGGTGCATCCGTTTTTCTAGCGATGTCTGGACCATATTGTTCTTTATGGCACAGTAGTTCTCTATTGTAGAAAAAATCTTTATCCGTTCACCAGTTGATGGGCACTTGGGTGGTTTGAAGATTTGGCTGGTACAAATGGTGCCACTATAAGCCCAGTTTCCCTTTTTAGTTAAATATTGAGGAGCCGGATGAAGAAGTATGCTGATGTGCGTATGGGAGGAACACAAGCATAGGAGACCAGGATCCAGGTCTTAGAAAATTTCCACTTAAGTGGAAGAAGCTGATGGTAAAAAATAAATAAACAGACTTGTTTCAGGCAGTAACAGAAGAATAAAGCATTATTTCAAACATATTTGGTCCATTTTTCTTTCACTGGCAGAAGGGAAAATACTTGAACTCAGTGGCTTCAGTTCAGATTTTAAGATTGTACATAGAGCCTGGAAATTTCCCCCCAACTGTGTCAAATGACAGGCACCTCCATGGACAGGGACTATTTCCTGCCTGTCCCCACCTCAGGGCGTGCTGTGCTTGGCAGCTGCCTAGACCACAAGTTTAGCCCTGCTGGGGGTGGGCCCGTCCCTGGGCAGTGGGCCCCGTGGCTTGCTCCTTCCAGGGCATTCAGAGCTGCTCACCCTGCAGGGGGCCTGCGCCGTGGACCCCACAGGCCAGCAACAGGAAGCAGAGGCTGGAGAAGGAGCCCAAGTCAGGCCCGCGCCACCTTCCGTGGGAGAATCATTCTGAGAGCCTGGCGCATCATTCTTGACGCCCTGCTCCACGGAGCCTCGGGTATTCTGTTGGGGAAGCTGGAGGAACCAGCCAGGGGACGGGAGGCCTTTTCCTCTGTGGGGAGGACCTGGCTGTTGCCCTGTAGCTGAGACAGGGGTGAAAGAAGAGAATTAGTGTCCTGCCAGGAAGAGTGGTGCTCCCTGTAATCTCAGAATTCCAGAGGCTGAGGCAGGAGGATCTGTGAGTTCAAGGCCAGCCTGAACTACTATCAAGATCTTGTCCCAAGCTAACAAAACATTCACAGCGGGGCTGTAATTGGTATGTCTCGTGCTGGGCAGCTGTGGTCTGAGTTTGATCCACTTGAACCGCTGGTGGTACAGGGTGACTGTCTGCAAACACAGCGCCACGATGGCTGTAAGAGCCAAGTG